AGGGGGTTGCCTTTTGCACTTTTCGGACTAGCAAGACCAAAGAGCACAAACCCCAAATTCATCAAATGACGGGTCTCAGTCTTAAGGTCCTCTTTGGTGAGGTGAAGTTCTTGCAGCATAAGAATGTCCGGGGACAAGGTATGGGCCCATTTCCGGTGACTCGACCGCCATCGGGTGACATTGGCCGAACAGACCTTGAGATTCCTAGGCTTAACTTCGTAAGAGTTGGCAGAAAGATCCTCCGAACCTCGAAGGACAAAAACCCAGTCACTTGGGCTCGGGTTAGGGGAAGCAAGGGCCTGAAACATTTTGTGGACCACCAAGTACTCCAAAGTCAGGGGGTCGGTGGGTTCGTCATCTTCGAAAAGGCTTACCATGCTAGATTCCACCGATGGAAAGCCCTGCTGAAAGCCCCGGGACACCAAACCCGCTAACTGGCCCCACTTCTCCGTTTTGTCACGCTGAGTTGCCGTGGTCCAGGCTACGATAGCTGAATCCAGAGGCTCCCTAGCCTTGAGAGGCCGGGCCGTCCTGTTGCGACGTCGTCGGGTTCTTCTGCTGCGACAGGACGACTGGGTACCTGTGGGTCGGGATCCACCTCCTGAGGCGAGGGGAACAAAAGTGCTGGGGGTATCGTACAACTGCATGTCGCACAAAGCCTCCAGAGGAAAATACCTCGGCCCCGTCACCAAGGGGTGGTGGACCACCTCATATTGGCATAGCGCTGCTAAAGAAATTGGGACTGGTGAGGGATCTTTGGCTGGTACACATTCCGCTCCAAGCGAAACCTGCCCCAAGCCTAAATCCCACTCCTTCTGGAGGGGCAGACCCTGACACATGCCACACAGAACCGCGTGTCTAGATGACCGGGTGTATCTTGGAAGCTCCACCAGGCAACTCTGACACTCAGGCACTACGGCACATTCATGGAAAGCCCATCCTCGGCACAGCCGACACAAAACTGCAAGCGCGAGACCATCCCCTACCTGGAAAAGGGTGTGGCACGGGTCATCCCCGGCCTGACACCTGCAGACCTCACAACAGCTAAGGCTGAAGACATCTGCTTGGGAAGGGGAGTGGCAAAACGTCTCGGGCAAGGTGACAAAATTTTGGCCAAGGGGAAAAACACGGGTTGTCGGGGAGAGGGACGGCTCTGACAGGTGCGGGGGAAACAGGTGATCCCTGGAATCCAAAACCCCCAACGCCCTACAAGCCCCGAACCCAGCTCCCTAACCCGTCTGCGATGCCTGACCCGGGGCCTGGCCCCCCACTGGGCCCCCTGGCGGGGTTCGACTGCGGCCTCTTGCTGCGAGGTCAGGCATTGTCGAAGCCTGCGAGGGCGGCAGACCCGGGGGAAGGCCTGGATCGACCTGCATGCGTCTGCGCTTGGCTTCATCGGACTTCAGAGCTTCCAGCTTTCTCTTTTGCTCCTCGGTAAGGCTGGCCTCTTGCATACCCAAAGCCTGCAAAACAGATTCCACTCCATTGTTGACCTCTTCCGCGCAATGCTTGACCACCTTGTCCTCATATTCCTTGGTGGTCTTTGCGACCTCCACCTTTGCCTCCTCGATGGCAAGCTGGATGTCCTGCATCTTGTGGAGCATTGCTCGCAGTCCATCTCCTCCTGCAGCCTCAGTTTCCTCTGGCCCAGATCACGGAGCTTGCCCACCGAGCTGCGAAGAACATCCCCAGCCTCCTTGCCCTCCTGACGAGGGTCCGGGGTTGGGGTGGCCGGCAGGGCGTCCACGATGACCTGGGGAAGGTCTCCGACATGCTGCTGCAGGAGCGCAACAAGATCCACATCCTCTGTGCGAGCCGGCTTGGCTTCAAACCCTGCTTCTTTCAGCTGCACACAGGCCTCGTCAGGAAGAGTATCCCAAACCTTCCGCAAGCAGTCATGGACCTTATTGGTCTTTGGCTTGCGAGGTCGGGGTTTCGGCTCCGGCTTGGACCAGATCTTGGGGTTGGGCACATCCGTTGGCCACTTTGTTCCGCACCACTGACACTTGGGGAACTTAGGCACCTTTGCCGCGAAGATCCAGCTGGCCGGGCCACACTTCTTGCAAACGTGATAACGTCCACCAGCCATTGTGACTGCGAAGAGGCCCCGAGCCCTAAAGGCTGGGCTCAGATGTTGGACTTGTTGAGTTCGGCACACCACCTCTGCCGGCGAGCCTCCGACAAAAGTTTCCCGGCGTCGGCAATCCAATCGTTCCTGGTCTTAGACCAGCGGGCCAAAGCACGGAGTTGGTTTGTGACCCTCTGCCCCGGTGTGAGGTCGCGGGCACTGGGCTGTTCCTCAAACTCAGCTTGCAAATAGGACCTGATCGAGTCCTCCAAGGGCGCCCTCTCGGCTACCCCAAAGCGCTGCACCTCAGGGGTGCGGGATCGCTCTCTGCCCGCCGTGGGTTTACAGCCCTAAGGCCGGGAGAAAACAGGCCCGAGCCCTGAGGCTGGGTGAGTGCAATGCAGCCGCAGCCCAAAGGCTGGGTGAGTGGTATGCAGCCACAGCCCAGAGGCCGGGTGGGTGCTCTGGCACAGTATGGCTCAAGCGAAAGGCCGAAAACAAAGGGGGCCTGGTACCGGCCCAGAACCCGGTTCACAGCTAATCGCTCAGCTACTTGTGCACCCCACCGGGGTTTGAGCAGAAACTTGAGCCATGTGTCATATTTTCTTCAGCAAGCGCGAGAGCGTTACCCAGTGGGTGTCCTGCATGCAAAAACGAATTCGCCCGGAGCCCCTTTGGGGCGAGACACAGTCTCTCGGGCAGTCGGTCACCCTGCTACGGCAAAACCACAGCTTACAAGCTGGGAATGTGGTGCACCCACGGCCATCTACAGGGAACTATGTTACAGCTACTCATCAGGAAGAGTTTGCGACCGCAGCCCGAAGGCTGGGAAAGGATGCCCCCAGAGAAGCAGCCCAGTTTCCACAGCCTCCTAGGCCGGGGTGGTGCATAGCCAGCGAACCAAAGGTCCAAGGGTGTTGCAGATCTGGTCAAAACACACTTGAGGTGGACCCCTGGAAAATTGCCGAAAGTAGCCCACATCATTTGGGCAGTATTTGGCAACTACCCTCCAAAAGCCAGTCCATTCCGGCCTCCCATGGGAGGGGCCCCAGTTGTTGGCATCGATGAAGGCCGGAAGGGGAACCACCCTCGTGCCCAGCGGCCTGTGGCTCAGGTTTGAAATGCCAACATCCTTGGCATCAACCCCACAGGCATACAAGTGCAACAAGGTGGCCAACGTGGCCAGGAGGTAGGAATGAACACGGAGACCATTGGCAGCATTTTCCTGGAGCCAGTCACGGGCCTGGCTGCGATGCTCTTGCACGTGGTACAGGAAACGATGCAGGCCCGCACCTGGCTCTCCTTCAGGCCCTAGTCCAATCCACATGGAGCCACTGGTGAGGATGGGAGCCATGAGCCGGGGAAAACGCCGCGCCATATGCATCATCCGTGAGCTTCAAGACCAACGCCTGAGACAGCTGGTAGCCTACACGGCTTTGTCCCCAGCCCAGGCGTGTGAGAACTCGGGCTTCCACCACGACCTGGCGAATCGGATCCCACGTAAGTGTGAGCTCTGGAGGGAGGAAATGCCGAGGCGAGGTGGGCCGCTTGATGTAGCTTGCTGCTTCACCAGCCGCGTGCACACCCGGGGTAAAGTCCTGAGCTTCTCTACGCATGCGTTGCCGCCGGCCCCAGGGGGACTCCTCAGCCTCAGGGGCTGGGTCTGAAGGGGGCCGGGCCCTGGACTCCAAGGGGGATCTAGGCCGTGCATGCTGGTTGGGAAGGTCACGGCTGGACGTAGCCCTTTCTGACCGCCTCTGAGGTGGAGGGGAACGGGTTGAATCACGCGGAACCGAACGCAAATCCACACCGGACCCTGCTACCTGAGGCCGCCTCCTTTGCGGAGGGGTGGGAGGGGTAGGGCTTCTGTCCACTGAGCGCAAGACCAAGCGAGGAGAAGGAGAGCGCCGACGGTCACGCCGAGGAGCCGGAGGGGGGGGGGGGCGGCCAAGCCTTCGCCGCCGGTTGGCCCGACGAGCTGGAACCCCAGGTGCCGCCTTCTCAGGGAGGGGTGCCCCCTTCCTGCTGGTCGTCTTGGTCGATGCGCTGTTGCCTGCGGATGTGGGGCGGAGGTCGTCTCTTGGAATGCTGGAGGGTCGCCGTAGAGCGCCACGACTTCCCCTCTGCCATTCGTTGGCGCTGCTCGCGCCAGAAGGGGCCGCGACCCCTGCCCTGTGAGCCCCCCATCACTGCTTCTTGAAGCAAAGGGTCTGCTGACCAGAGGGAAGCTCTTTCTTCTTTTTGGCACGGCTGGCCGGCTTCGGGGCAGGCTCCCTTGCCAGCCCGGCTTCACGTGCACTTGCCCCAGGAAGGGAAACCACTTCCTTTGTTTTGCCAGACCCCTTAGACACGTGCGACTCTGCAGTCGTAGGAAGGGAAGCCGCTTCCTTTAGAGTGGAAGAAGAACCTGGTGAGTCCGGCCGCCCAGGAGGCGTGGAAACCGAGGCCTGGGCATGAAAGGACAAGGTTTGGTTGTTGTGGAGTTTTTTACAGGGTTTCTGGAGACCTAAGCAAGGCTGAGAGTGGCCTGGAAGGAGGGTAAGATGGCACCCGGAGCACAGCCATCTACGTCCCTCATTTTTGAGCCGGTGCGTCGGGTGGAGGGTAGGCCAGAACTGGGGACCATTGTGGGGCATGTCAATGCACGGCTGCGCAAGCAAACGTTCTAGCCTATCCATCTCATGAACCTGCTGGAGGTAAAGCTTACACTTCACACAAGTGATTGCCAGATTATTTGTTTTTAACCCCCCTACTTGCCAGACATGGCCACCTACTGCTTCCGGGACATCCACTTTCGCCAACAAAAGCTGGCGTTTGTTAGGCCCTTTGGGTGGTTGGGGTTCCTGCCTTTGGCTACGGGGGACAAAATCATCTTTTGAGGCATGTTTCAAAACAACCACAGCTCGCGACGCCAGGTAATCGCAGATCCTGGTTACGAGCCTATCCAGGTCCTGGACTTTCCGCCCTGCAACAGGCGGTATGGTGGCAGCCCGTTAGCCTGCCAACTCGTCGGCGCACTGGTTGGCCTGGTGTCTCCAAAGCTGGGAAAAGCCAAACCTAATTTCGAACTCACGGCTAGTTAGGTGGGATTTTACCCAGGTGGGCCTTATCCTACCACGGTCCTCCCAGACCGGGCCCCAAAAAGCCGGGGTTGTTTTTTGAAAGGATTTTTTGGTGAGGGTCCTAAGGGCTGGTTTGCAGTCCCCCGTGAGGTCAACCTGACCAAGGGTGTGTTTAATCGTCTGCACAATGGCATAAGATTCACCGTGCGCGACGCTTGTTCCGGGGGGGGTGAGGCCGGACATGGTCCCTAACTCCTGAAACAGACCATCTTGAACCCGCCCCACGACAACAGACCAGCTCACTCTTCGCAATCGCGGATCCTTGGTGAACTTGCCCCCTGACGCGTCCGTAGCAACCACCAACCCGTCTGCTACTACCTGGGAGGACGTGAGAAACACGCCTGTCTTGACCACTTCTAGGTCCCCCGAGGGAGCGACTGGGAGGTATTTAAGGGGGAGCATACCCCGAAGCCACAGGCAGTCATCAGGGAAACGGCGCTTCTCCGCCAGAACGTACCCCGGTAACCGCATGCCACCAGGGAAGGAAGGGCATTCATACATGAGGTGACGCAAGGTGGCCCCGGGATCGCCACAAAACTTACAGACATCCTTGCCACCATTGCCGTTATGGAGAATGGACCCTTGGAAAACAGCCCGGTAAGCGTACCGGGTTGTTTTGGTGCGCACTGACTTGAGCAGGCGACGCGGGACCGTCCAGTCGACCCCGCCAGCAGCACCCGCTGCCGACGAGGCCGATCCAATGCGACGAGACCTCTGGGTCTTGATGATGTCCATGAGGAAAGACGAGGTTTGGCAGATAACCGAAACCTCAGAGGGCTTGATTTCGAGAACACGCTCCTCAAAAACCCAGCGGGAAGGATCATGGCCGTCGACCTGGAGGTCGCGGAGGTATTGACACATGGCAGAGATGGGTCCAGTGACCACGGACCAACCGTGCTTCGCAGCCTCCAGCCGCTTCCAGACCACCCGCCAAGTGTCCTTTACGGCCTCCCATCCCATGCGGTTACATCTGGCCATCATCCTAAAAAGACTTTCCACGTGCTGGGTTACCACAATAAGGTAGGGATCCTGAACCTCATGGGCCGTCATGTCTAGGATGGTATCCGTGGAACCGTATCGGCTCCTGCCTGCGTGCCGGGCTACCGCTGCGCGCATGGTTTTCATATGTTTAGGGGCAACCCCTTGTGCTTCATGGCCATAAAGACCCGAGGTGACCACACTAGAACGGTGCAACCGTAGCCGGACGCGGCGTGCCGGGATACGAAGCTTGCCCAACTTCAGGTTACGAAGGCTACCTACCCGAAAGCGTTTCTGGGCAGTAGTAGTCCTGCGCCGGCGGCCACTGCCACTATCAAGGCCTAAATCCTTGACCACGTCGACTATGTCAGGGTCCCCCGGCCGCAGCAGCTGTCGCAGCGCCGCGGCCGAGCGGGGTGTCCCGGCCACAAATTTTGTTTTCTCTTGGCTGCGGACGAGACCTTCAGCCTGAAGACTGGCCTTGAGCACTCGAAAGGCTTCATAGGCCGCGCCCGCGGCTATATCCGGCGAGGCATGGAGGGAGTCTGCAGAGACATCGTCCAACCATACGTCGCAATGATGCAAACCTGTGACTCGTTTCAGTCTATGTAAGGGTTCAGACATGGTGAGCTTGGCCAAGGTGGGTGCGTACGGGCATCCCTGAATCATGCCCCGGCCTGGGAAGATGGTGGGGCTGGGCTGGGATTCACCCACCACCGTGCGGCCTCCTTGGTAGAGGCGAAGGGAGAGGCACAGGGCCAAGGCTGGGAAAGACAACCGCAAGCCTTGTTCGCAAAGCCGCTGCCAAGAGACGCTGTCGTAAAACCCATTAATGTCAACAAACAACGAGACAGTGTGCAAACCCTTGACTCTGGCGGATTCTTTGGAGCACTTCCTGGCCAGGGCAACGTCCAACGAGGTTCGACCTGGAATCGCCGAGTCAAAAGGATGATCCGGGATGTAGGAGTCCAGCCACTGGCTGACCAAGAACCGCCGAGTCTTACACCAAAGCCGCCACAGGACCGATGTAAGACCGATAGGTCTTTCCTTCAAGGCACTCTTGGCCAGAAGAACAATCTGGACCTGGGAGACTTGGAGGGGAATGGCAAGGTCCTCCTCCATTTTGTTGAAGACGTTGGCTAGGACTGCATACGCTTCCCGAGGCAGGTCTCGAAGGTCATTGAAATCCCAGCCGTCCGGGCCTCCTTTTTTGGGATTCCTGGCAGCGCATATCTTAGCGACAGAGCTAGCAGAATGCTTGGGCAGGGAACGGACCTGCTCCCGGGCTAAGTCAACCAATGCGTCCCATACTTCCCCTTGGAGCGGAGCTGGCGACACCAGGTTACCCTGCCAGACCTCGCACCAAAAGTCGAGCCGTTTATAGGGCCGCGCCAGGGGAGTGAACTCCCGATACGGTCGTTCCAAGGTTTGCTCATCAGCTCGAAGGGAGCGGTAAAGGGGGCGGAGGTGATCATTTTGCGCCTCTTCTAACCACTTGGAGTAAGACTCGGAGTTCTGGGAGGTCTGGGAGGCTAAAGCTTCCTTATATTTTGCCTCCACCTGGGGCACCAACTCCCGAGTGAGGCTGCTGCGGTCTATTAATTATTTTTTTTATTAATTATTAATTAATTAGTAATTAATTATTAATTAATTATTAATTAATTCTTAATTAATTGTTAACTAATTATTAATTAATTATTAATAATTATTAATTAATTATTAATGAATTATGAATTAAATATCAACTAATTATTAATTAATTATTAAATAATTATTAATTAATTATTAATTAATTATTAATTAATTATTAATTAGTTATTAATTAATTATTAATTAATTATTCATTAATTCTCAATTATTGGTAATTAATTAATAATTAATAATTAATGTTTTTTAAAGAAAGGGATCGTCCGGAGGGATGGAGGCGAAGGCCTCCGAGGGGGGACCATCCCTGTCTGGAGCCAGGTGCGCCATCTATCCCAGATAGCCATAGGCCCTCCTGTCCAGGCACCTCCGCCAACTGGGTGCGAGGCCAACGGCCTGCGGGGGAGGTCGACCCACCAGCCCTTTCCTATGGTGGCCTGGGCCTCCGACTGAAGGTCGCGGGTGTGTCATATTTTCTTCTCAGAGCGCGAAGCGCGGCCGCCGAAACGGCAATCCTAAGAAACCCGGGTGGCTACCTTGAGCCAGGCCTGGGGGAAAAGGGTTTTGACACCTACAGCCTACACACCCACAGTCGTTGTGACTAGGCGTGCTTGCCTACGGCACTGCTTACCCGGGCGCTTTCCAGGCCGGTGCTGAGCCAGGTGAGAAAAGAAAGCCTTGGTCACTACAGGCTACAGGACCTATGCCATCACATGGAGGGACTCTGAATGGTCAACCCCCAGCGTCTTCTTCAACTTGGAACTGCACTATACAGGGCTAGGCCTCCTGTGTTGCTGTCCCGCCCCACTGCACTTGGCAGGGAGGAGAACCCCCAAGGCCTGGGGGCGGGGGGCCTTCAGCCCAGAGCAGGGTTTTGTCCCCTCAATTTGTAGTTAAGCGCGGGGACCACGCACTCCCCCCAATTTTAGGCGCAGGGAGCGACGCTTTCCCATCGACTATGGAGGCGCTGGGAACGACGCCCCAAAACCCTGCTGCAACGAGGTGGCCCCTGCGTTCTCGCTCTTACTAACAGGGGCCAGAGCACCCATGCCGCAGCAGCTCTGGGCACTCGGCTACCTCTACCAACCAAAATCCACCCCATTGACGGGCAGTGGAGTGGCGCACTGCCCTTGCATTCTTAAACACAGGCAGCAGAGTGGCCATAAAGGCCCCCTGTCTGCCAAAATTACCTCCAAACGGGGAGGGAAAACCACCCCAAAGACGGGGAAAGGAGTGGAAGCACTGCCCTCGCGTGCATGCCACGGGCAGCAGAGTGGCCATCAAGGCCACATGTTGGCCAAACTTACCTCCAGCGGGGAGGAATAGCCAGCGTCCAGGCCCTGCAATGTACGTTCGACTCGATGTTGAAGATCTTTGGTGCGGGCGGGCCAAATTCAATGATTTTGTGCAGAAAAGGAAATTTGACCAAAAAAGCCTTGGCGATTTCCTATACCAGCAACGTAATGTTGCTATTTGGCCCTGCAATGCACGCTCGACTCGATGTCGAAGATCTTTGATGCTGGCGGGCCAACTTCAATGATTTTGTGCAGAAAAGGAAATCTGGCCAAAAATCTTGGCGAATTCCTATACCAGCAACATCATGTTGCTATTTGGGGCTCAGCGTGTCATCCTAAACCCCAAAATAGCAGGAACGACTTGTTTGGCAGTAAAAGGACAGAAAACGGTGCCTGGACTGTAATGAATGGGTCTGCGCGAAGACAGAGAAGCGCGCACTGCCTTTGCATTGCGGCTGGGAAAGGCCCCCGGCGAAGTGGGCCGGTATACGCTCTCAAAGGTGACCTTAAACCCAACCAACCACCCTGGGCAACTGCAAGATCCAAACCTAGGTGACTGCGCGTCAAGGCCGGTGCTAAGCCCTCAAACTAAGCGCGAGGGCAAACGCACCCCTACACACGCGCAGGTGTCGACGCTCCCCTCAACAAGCGCGGGAACCACGCCGCACCAGCCATGAAACACACCCACTGTTGCCTTGGCTTGCAGCACAGGCAGGACCCACGGTCTGGACACTCCTGGGTACCTGCATGCCCGAAACTATAAAACAACAAGTAAGAGGAGGATCCCACACTTGGTTCTGCCAACGCCAAGCGATAGGGAGGCAAGAGCCCGTAGCAACTCCTGCACTTGTTCCAAAACCCTGCACAGGTGGCAGGGCTGGCCCCCCAACTCAAGGACGTAACTGCATGGCCCTTTAGTGGAGGACCTGGGCGCTGAGGAAGATCCTCCCAGAGGCTGGAGAGATGAGTGCTTCCTGCGTGTCCAGAGCGCATAGCGCCTGAGTTGATGCACAAAATTTCAGTAATTATGGTACTGGTATAGCCAGAGGTGGCAGCACACTTGTGGCCCACACATAGGTAACCTCAACAACACCCTAAACCCTCCCAAAGAAGCCAAGGGACCCCCCTAAGGAGCCTCAACCACACAGGATGGTCCCCACGCTTGCCACCAAACTTGCCAGCGCCAAGCATGCATGCAATCCTAAACCCAAGAGACAACCAAAAGTGACCATTGGCGAAGACCTTGCCCCCATCTGCTCTCCTGCCAGTGGGCGGCATGATCTCAGGAATGCAGCGGCATGCATGACTGCAAGCAGTGCAAAGTGGCAAAGGAAAACAAAGCAAAACTTTGGGGAAAAAGCAGTTAGTTTAGGGGCACCAAGCGCTGGTGCTTATTCAAACTCAAGCTTTCCTGGAGGTGAGCCCCCCCGAGAGATTGCCACCCGCTCCGGAACTTGCGTCCCGCCGGCTGGGACTGGCCTAGGATGCAATGCACCCTTGCAACGGAGGCGAACCCCCGACGGTGAGCAGCGGTTCCTGACCGTGGAGACAAAAGGGAGGCGAACACCCTAGGCTCAGCCATGGCACAAGTTGGACAAGCTGGGATTGGACCAAGGGCCTGTTCCCCCACGCAGATTTGGGCCCCGAGGCTCGTTGACAGCTACCAACTCCCTACCAAAGGCACCCCACCGGGGTTGAGCCGAAAGCTTGAGCCAATGTGTCATATTTTCACACCCCCTCATGCCTATTGCGCGGTCAGTCCTTCTTTCGTCTTTCGAAACTTCTCCTGGCTTCTTTCACCAGGAAGCGGCCTAAGCCCTGCGGATAGACACCTGTCGCTGCCAAGCTAGTAGCACTCGCGTGCTCGTGGTTGCCTGGGCAAACACAAGAGGATAAAGTCCAGATAAAACTTGAATCCGAACTGACGAACCACCAATGCTTCAGGATACGGTTGCCGGCTTCCTCGAAACAGCACCGGTCTACCAAACACTCGTGCTCGAGTCCCAGTCTTTTTGCTGTCGACTTGTAGACTGTTTCTCCCCAAAGGCCAGACCCTTTCGGCCATTCGTGGGAGAGGAGGAGCCTCTCGTGGCCAGCATAGTCCTGGAAAACTGCTCGTATGCGTCTCCAAGACTTCTTGTGTACCTCCAGACTAGCTCTCCATCTCGCTCGGTTCTTCACGTCCTTTGAGAAACGCAGGTGCCTATAGCCACTACCTGCGCTGCACGGCGTAGACAAATGTGCATACACGTAGATTCTTTCGTTAGAAGCCATCTTCTCCAGAATCCCTTTCAGTAACAAAGAAGCTTCTCTACTCAGCAAGTCTAGCTTCTTGGTGATTCCAAAGTACGCGATGTCACGTTCCTGCTTACAAGCTTGGGCTATCGCGCTTTCCTCTTCGCAACAGAGTTCCAAGACAACCATGTTGGCCTCCCCAGAAGCAACTCTGTAGGCCTCGTCCTTCCACGAGCTCGGAATTGCGAGCACTTCGTCGCAGGTATTGGGCTCTTTAAAGGTAACCGAAACGCTAGTGCCTGAAGCTTTTTCTTCCCAGCCAACCGGCTCGGTGATCAAGCCACAAGCCTCATACAAGCTTACCAAACTGTCATTCGTGGGACTTTTTGTTAGAGCATCTGCGGGGTTGACGGCCCCCGGTATGTGCTCAATTGTGAACCTTCCACGATCCACAAGTTCCTGGAGAAATGCGGCTCTTAATTCTATATGGCGAACTTTCCTCAGCAATGTTCCCATTTTTGAGATACAAACCGCGCTTTCAGAGTCAGAGTAACCCTTCAAGAGATAGTAACCGGTCTCCCTGTCCTGCGGAATGCCTTCCAAGACGGTCTCTGTCAAGAGGGCAATGTAGAGACCTTCCCTGGCTATCTCCGTGAGCGCCGCGAGCTCACTCTCAGCGCTGGACAGGGCTGTGGTTGATTGTTTTCTGCTAAAAGTCTTCAGACAGCAGTTTTCCCAAGTAATCACACCACCACTAACCGAATTCAAACTCCAGCTGGCATCTGTAAAACAGGAAACCGCCTGAGGATCCGCATCATCTTCCAGGATCTCCCGAGTTGATGGAAACACCTGTACTCGGTGCAGAAGCCCTTTTATCCACTTAAGGACGTCTCTCATGCACGTCTCAGCAGCCTCGTCTGGCGCCGACTGGTGCCGGCCCAAAAACCCGCAGCAGAATTGCAGGTCCGGTCGGGCGAGGGCTGCCCATGCAAGCCGACCAAGGGTTCTGCGATACTTTTCGTGCGCAGCTGGGCTGATCTTTTCAGTTTGCCCCTTACGAACCAGGTCGGAGTATCGCTTTTCAAGCGACGGGAGTTTGGGGCTCGGTTTGGTTATATTGTATTCAGAGCAGCACGCGTCTAGGTACTTGCCATCTAGCCCGAAATAGACGCGCTTGTCTCCGGAACGTCGGAATATCCTCCGACCCAGGAAGGAAACTTCCCCCGCACCATTTTCAGGAAGCTCTCCAGTCAGTTTCAGCTTGTAGCGTTTCTGCAGTCCTTCGAAAACTCTCTTCCCTTCCGAGGGGTCCTCGGAGTAGATCAGTAAATCGTCTACAAAGAACAGGACCAACGTCAGACCCTTCGACGTCTTCCTCCGGTATATCGTAGGGTCCAGGCTTGGACTGAATCCGCTCTTCTCCAAGTACGAACTCAGTTCCTTATACCAAGAAAGCGGTGCCGATCTCAATCCGTTCATCGCTTTGTGAAGACGAAGATACACCTTCTTGTTTCCTGCCTTTTGGGGAACAGAGGAGTCCGCAACACTCACGTTGTTTGGGAGCTCTACGTACCCTGGCCTTGACACTGCAGCGTGCATGAAAGCCACGCTCACGTCACAGCTCAACACAGAGCCTTTCTTGCAAAGCAATGCCAAAAGAAGCCTTAAACCCTCTAAACTCGTAGTCGGGCTGTAGATGCCTTCTGAAAGCGTCGTGCCTCCCATTGAAGCGTAATCTCTAACAACGAGGCGGGAACGGTAAAGACCTTTACGTTTGATCGTGTTAACCCACCTACTCGTGAGAACCCTTCGACCGCTCTCTCGCGCCGACTTACGGGCCTCAGCTTCAGAGATCACTTTTCCTACTCCAAAAGACTCGAGTTCCTCAAGCTCCAACTTCATCGAAGCATACAAAAGTTCAGGGTCTTATTTTCCAAACAAAAATGTTCACATGTATGAAAACATCGCCTGGCTGAAAGCACGCGATCCATCGATGTTATGCTTATTCATTGGTGTTCCATGCACGGCAATGCTATTCACACGCACCGACTGCAATGACATGTTGCAATGACATGCACCCTCGCGCTAACACAACTGAAGCTTATGCACTGGCATCTTTTCCAAGGAAGGGGATTTGCTATGTCTGCTTCCATCCGAGATCTGTCCTCTGCAGGTGTGTGAGAAACGAAAGCTCCCCCGTGAAACGCTACACAAAGTGCTGAAAGCAGAGTTCTCTGCTGCGCTCAGCGGTTCCGCCTAAGTGAGCGGCCTGTCAATGGTTGAGTTGAACAACGAAGTGCACACATGTTCCAAGGTGCACCGGTAGATCGCTGAGGTTCGTGCTGTAAGGCACATGACGACCCTGCATTTCCAGGCGAAAACTGGAAGTACGTAAGTCATGCCCAGAGCGATGCCACACATCGTCAGCAACCGCAAACTTGACGTCGTCAACTGTTCCTGTGGTCGCCACTCTACAAAGCACAACATCCACAACCGGCACATTGGTTACCATCACTGCCAGCCATTGGATCCTTGATTCTCTGTTCGTCTCTTCATCAAGACCCGCTGTTCCGGCATCACGTTTCATCTCAACTGCCCAATGTAAGGCACTATTGGAGTGGGTGGGTGGGCAGAAAAATTTTCCGGACCCTCTCCACGAGGGTTGTGGCTGAGAGGGCTGTGGCCTCTCTTCGTCTGAGCCGAAAAACTTTCTCATTCGTAGAATTCGAAAATTTTTCTCCGGAAAATAAAGGTTTGTACTTACAGCACGATTACCTTATTTTCCAAACAAAAATGTTCACATGTATGAAAACATCGCCTGGCTGAAAGCACGCGATCCATCGATGTTATGCTTATTCATTGGTGTTCCATGCACGGCAATGCTATTCACACGCACCGACTGCAATGACATGTTGCAATGACATGCACCCTCGCGCTAACACAACTGAAGCTTATGCACTGGCATCTTTTCCAAGGAAGGGGATTTGCTATGTCTGCTTCCATCCGAGATCTGTCCTCTGCAGGTGTGTGAGAAACGAAAGCTCCCTCTCTTGGTCGGGGAGAATGCAAGTCCCTTCCTTGGTCATGGGGTGTCAGGCCCCGCGCCCGACTAGCGAGTTCACCAGCTTGGCCATTTCCGCAAGAAGCACCTGGTCCTGGAACCTGCAATTGTGTGGCAACCCTGTAAAGTCAAGGCGAGACGGGGCGTCCGCCACATTGGATTTGCTCGGTACCCGAGCGTAGAACGGAATCATCTCAAGCTCCTGTTCTAACAATGCGCAAGCGTTGCTCAAGAGGGTCAAAGCCTCTGAATCGCTGGTCAGCTTGAGGAGCGTTATGCGCGCCGCCTCATTGTCTAAGTAGCACATCACATGTTTCCCCCGCAGAAACTCTCGGGCTAGAATGAATAGCAGGAGAACAGCTATGCTCTCGAGCTCGTTGATGACTTTAGACTTTCCTTGCAGAAGTTTCTGAGCAAGGTCATGCGGCAACACAATGCCAAACCAGCACAGGATGTGCCCCTCCTGATTGAACAGGACTGCTCCCAGGCCCATTTCGAGGCCTTGGAGTCCTTCTTGCGAGGCGTCCGTAAAGGCGTACACCGTCTCTGAGGTCTGGGCTCGCACTATCCTCGGCGACGCCTCGGCTATGTAGTGTCGTAGCCCCTGCAGTGCTGCGCAAAGGGAAGCTTGGTTTTGTCTCCTGACATATGCGGGGGCATTGATGATGTCAGAGTTTCTTCTCATGAAGCCCTTCGGCAAGCGCCCAGATAGTTGGCCAGCCACGAAGTGCAGCCTTCCCCTCAGTCGATTCCAGGTCTTAGGGCTTGAGGCTCCTTACGCCTGAAAGGCTGCCAGGTCTTCGATGAGACTTTTGGTCCGCTCTGCTGTATTCTGGATCCTAAATATCTGCTTGTTGCTGTCTGTAAGGTCAAATTCGACCCCCAAAGATCTGAAGACCTCCTGGAACGGCTGGGCCTTGTCTCCGTCTCTGTCAAACTCAAAGCCGAGCAAGTCTAGCAGAAAACATGCACTAGCCTCTGCGCTAGTGGCCAGCTGTCGTGTTGACAACAGTGTGAAGTCATCGCAAAAAGAGCTCCAAGGCAAGTGCCAAAACGTGTTTCCTATATGACAAATAGCCAGGCTGACCCTGATGAATGCATGGACCGCCGCCACAGCGCCGAATGGCAGGCAGAGAAGCCTAAAGAAGCGAACCTCCCCCGAGTTGGGGTCCTTGACAGCCACGTAGGCCATGTTGAGTGCCTCTTCGGACAGTGGTAGTTGCCTATATGCTGATTTCAGGTCAATGGTTTTACCAAGCAGTCCTTGTCCTGCGTGCCTCAGGAACAAGATGGCCGACGCTGCAATTGTCTCGATGTCATGCAACTCGATCTTCCCCATGCTCCCGAATGCCTCGTTGATGTGGCTCTGGGACAGGTCGTCAATCGGCCTGACCTTGTTCCCTTGTTGGATGGCAAAACGTTTGCTGACTACAGCTCCTTGTGGCAAGTCCTGCTCTCGGAAAGGTCCTTCCGACCAGCCTTTGGATACTTCATCGAGACTTTTCTGCCACAGTTCTTCCAGGAACTGAGATGGGTCCTCAACTTCCTTGATGACCTGGTGGTTGGTCTCCTGCGTCAGTTGGGACAAGTCCTTCAGGGAGAGGAATGCTGGACGAAAGTCGGTGGACCAGCCTGCCGGAAGGTCCAAATGCCCCACAAGATCAAAACCCTGTGCCATGTCGTCTGCCACTGCCTTGTCGGCGTAGTGGGACGCTTCTAGCATCTCTTTGAAGAGCAGTATTCTCTTGTTACGGAGGCTGCTGCGGATGTGCTCGGGCAGCTTGGCTTTGAAGTCCTCTTCAGCTAACTGCAGCTCCTGGCTCGCTGGAGCCATCTCCGTGACTGCGCAGCTCGAGTCTCAATCACCTTGGTTGCAGGCTGCTTGGAACACGCCAAAATTGCCTTCCGCAGGGCGGGTGGCACCCCGAGACACAGGTGTCGGGGGTGGCCGGCCAGTCGGGCTTTCGCCACAAATTCCTGTGGGTTCCACGGGACCTCCACCAGCACATCCGTCGCAGAAGACAGTAGGGGCGTCACTCTCAGCGCCGGGGCTCCTGGCGCCTTGAAGCCCGGGATCCTGTCCGGTGCCAACCACTGTGTAGTCTGGAAAGTACTACGGAGTTGGCCGGGCACTGTCCATCTGATTCGTCTGCGAAATTCAGGGATAACCTGAAACGATGCAGCCCTTTTGGTCTTCGCCTGTGTCGTTACCACCCTGGCTCCTGAGGAGTTTGCGGGATCTGCCTCCAAGAGATTCAGACCATCCCGACAGCCCTTCTGTGTCAGATGCTGCAGCAGCAGGGAAACAAAGCGCTTACAAAACTGGTGTGATTACGCAGTCTCAAACTTTGTTGCGAGAACTCCCTCCTGCACTTTCCAGGGCAGGTGCTCGTGGGATCCATCACACGTGACAGCCATGCCTGTGATGAGGTCGCTGTTGCACAGCAGGGCCGTCCGCTTCAATCTCGAACCTCCCATCATGCAAAAGTCGCACTGGACCACGATTGCCTGTTCACTCCTGAGGATGTGTTCAATGGCGCTGCAATGCCAGAAGAAACTGCGATAGGGGTTCTCTATGATTACCACAATTTCATTTTCGCAGCAGAAGTCCCAGATTCGGGCCGTGAGCCGGTAAAGCTCGTTAGCCTTTGCCACCCTTTCTGCATCACTTGGGCCAAGGCCTGGGAGCCCTTCCGGGCACTCCACTGACCGCAAAGGACGCGGCTCGTCCTCCCCGGGAGCGGGATTTCCCTGGCCCTGCTGGATGTGCCGCAGGGCGGCGCCAGCCATACGGCGGCCAGTCCTGGAGAACCCAGCCATTTCCACAGCAGACCTTGGTGCGACAGCAGGAGCAAGTCCAGCTGTATGATCTTGCCCTTGCGCCTCGGCATGCGGACATTGTCTACTCCGACTGACCTCTTGAGGCCGGCTGAAGCAGCTGCCGAGGCAATCCCGGCCGACCCCGCGAAAATTTCCAAAACCCAACACTCCTGTATGGTCTGGGGCGCAGTACATTGCGCCTGTCCAGACCTGTGCTCGCCGTGATGACTCGCCTGAGGTGAAAATGCAGAAGCCTCAGCTGGAGGCTTGGAAAATTGTGGGATTGGCTCAGCCACCCGCTTGAGCGGGGGCTGCTTCTCTTGCCCTTTCGCAATAGCAGCAGGGTACGAGTCCTTGCAGCTCTCTTCGGGCCTGTCCGCCTCAGGAGCGGGAAAATTGTTCTGTTCACAAAATTGGGCCGAAATGTCTCCACCCTCCCCCATGGCTATTTCTGCTCTTACCGCGCACGCTTGTGCGCGACGCGCGGTCAGAGCAGCTCGGGACGCCTGGTCCAGCGCAGAAGCGCTGTCATTCGACGTCCCTTGCAGCGGGGCGTTCTTTCTGGCTGCCTGGCCTGAATGCTTGTGCTCCGAAAATGGATGCTTCCGGAAGCAACCTGGGTGACAACACACATGTCTGCCACGTGCACATCTGCCCCCCAATGGGGCGTCCTTGCACTGTCCTAGGTTGAAGCCAAAACAAAGAGGCTCTCCTTGCTCGTCGTTCGGCACTCCGCCGCGCAAGGCGGCCGGCATGGGGGTCTCCCCCTTGCCTCCTTGCAAGACAAGGGACTTGTTCGGAAAGCCTCCCTTGCCACTGTCAAATTTGCCCTTTGTGGGGAGGCGGGCCCCCTTGAAGCCTAATTTGCCTCCCTGGCCCTTGTCTCCTTTGTCGGTCCTCTGATATTTCCATTGTCCATACCCTTTTCCATCGCCCCAGCGCTTGGGGCCCTTGCCAGCGCCTTTGCCCCCTCTATCTGGGAACCCTTGAAAATTGACTGCAACCGTGTTGGTGGCTTCCAGAAAGACTTGATCTAAGCACCGGGCGTCCGCGAGCGGCGCGTTCGCCGCTGCCCTTGTCAGGGTCGGCTGTTTGCTGCCAAGCTCCATCCACAAGGCCCGATCTGCTCGCAGGACCTGCTGCAGCGTCGGACGGTTGAAGCCTGGGGGCGGTGGGGTCTGCAAGGTAGCAAAGGCCTTCTGAAGCCATTTCTCGTGCACCTTGAAACTCAAAATGCCAACGAGGTCGTAGGCCAGACCCCGTCTTTGCAACGCCCTGTAAGTCGCCATGTCTGACCCCAACTGGGCCTCAACTTTGGAGGATTTGTCTTGAACCGAGAGGCCATCCCCCGAAGCATCCAGCACAAGTTCCTTGGTTGGCTTGCCTTGCGCCAATTCCTGGCGACGCGTGGGGATCTTGCTCGGGTGCAGGTATTTCAGCGACCCTTGCTCTACCTGTGTCGACACGGCGTCATATACTGAAAAGGCGGGCTCCAAGTCATGCTCAATCGAGAGTCCGCCCAGCCTTTGAGCCTGCAATTCCAAGCGCTGGGCTCTCTCAGCTCCTGGCAGCTTACGGAGGACTGAGTCCGGCTGCTGTTCCACGGTTGCCTTCAAGTTTGCCAAGCTCATGGTCTGGCACTCGAACAGGAGCCTCTTGACAACCGTCATCTGTGCAAGAGTGGGGTTGTTCTGCCCCAGACTCGTACATAGAGTGGAGACCTCCCTATCTGTGAGAGGTTGACCCGGTTGAGTGGCTGCATAGGCTGCCATGGAGACCGTCTTGACCCCTCCAGCTATGAATTTGTCCAAGAGTGGCTGCTCCATTCCGATCTTGCGAGCATGTTGCTCGAAGAAAGGCTGACTATCCGCTGCGTTTGCCATGTTTAGGGCGTGGGGCCAAAACTGCAACTTGCAAGAGAGAGAGCTGGTACAAAGGGATGGTGTTGCACAAGCACACAAACCGGGCAACAACAGTGTCACCCCTCTCTTTACTCCTGAAAACAACGGCTGCACTGTAGCCACTTCGCTGAGGGCTTCTCCATTTCTACAAAATTGACGCTTATCCACTTTCCACATTTCAGCGTCGTCTGACCTACTTTGTACAGATGTAACATGGTAGACTTCTTGTTCTGGATCGCCCTCCAACCCTCCGGTAGGCTCAGGGTCGAAGCTGGTTCCTCCTTTTCTTCCGACGAGGCTCCATCAGAGGTTTCCTCGGAGGACCCTTCTGCTGATGTGGTGGGCGAGATCTCTGCCTCCTCGTTATCATCTGCACCTTGTGTGTCGTCCTTATCGAACAACGCCTCGCAAAGCCCAGAAGTCACGGTAGCCAACCTGTCTAATTCCTCACTTTCTTTCGAGGGGGATTCGTCTCCTTCTGCTACCGACGGTGCAGATGCTTCCAAGACAGGCATGGCACTTGGTGACTCAAAAACCTTCCCTTGCGAGGAGCAAAGCGGTCCAACCCCCCGGAAATCATCCTCAAAGCCTTCCACTGGAGCTGGCAAAGGCTCATGCGTGCTTTCGGAGTTCGCGGGCCGCCCATCTAAGCTGCCTGCCTTGCTGATCGGCAACCAGGACCCGAGGTCAACGGACGCACCTGCCTCTGATCCTTGGGCACGGGCAAAGTATCCACTTCGAGTAGCATCCGGGCAAAACGAGCCCTCCCGTACCTGCTTTAGCATTTCCTCCAGCTGCCGGAGGGGGCCACTAAGGGCGTCTCTTGAGTAAGCTAATGTACTCAAAAGCTCCAGTAGAGTGATGTGCCAAGAGTGTTTGTGTTTCGCCCACAATGCCATATTTGCTCAACCAACCCAGAGCAGTGTGTTTCAAGGAATGTGTGGTGACCCTCGCTGTTGAGGGGTCGCGGTTCCTTAGCAGTCCCGTTAGCCAGTTGGAGGCCTCGGCGGAGTCGATGGACCTCTGCAGCCAGGCACCGTCTGGGGCGGTGGCCGGTAGTAAAGGGCCTACAGGGGTCTTCGAGAGCACGATCCCTGCTTCGGCAGCCACTTTCTGCCATTCTTTGGCCCAAACCACCGTCGGGTGGACCCCCCGAACTGGAGCCACAAGAGGCATGAACAACGAGAGTTTCTTCTTCTTGTTGGACTGTTTGACCTCTCTGGCCCTGCCTTCCAGAAAACCGCAGATTTCGGGGCCAATCTCCAGAAAATCGAACTCCAGGGATCGCACGTGCCTGATGTCCGACCAACGGTTCCTGCTGAAGATCTGAAACAGGAATACTCCTGCTGCAAATCGATCGACAATGTGGAGCTCAGCGTTCCAAACACACTCTTCCAGAAACCTAACTTCGAGCACTGTTAGGTCCCGGGCTTGATGTGTGGGCTCGTGCTCGCCTGCCACTCGGTCGGCCAAGCCTTGGACCCTGGGGGAGATGGAATTCTCCACATCTGGAATGGAAAGCACAAATTTCACAAACTTCAACGCTTGTACCACCCTTCTTCCTGTGGGATATCTCTCTGCAGAACTTGTACACCGTTTCCTCTGATGGGAGAAGGGGTTCCTCCACAGAGGTCCCTTGCACATCGGCCTGTTTTTGAAGCCAACGAAACAATCTCAACAAGGTTGATGCACGCTTCTGGATTGTGTGTGGTGATTTCGATCCAAACATGTCACGAAGGGACAACATCTTCTCCTCTTCGTCCAATTCCTGTAATGTTTTGGCAAAAGTGGTGGACGGGGAGGCCTCGAACAGCTGTTTCCACATCTGCATGTTCTTCAACCACATGCCTGCAACAGCCTCCTCAAAAGGCTCATCTTTCTTTTTGCACTTGATCACTTTGCTGAAAACATTGGCTCCCGGTGAGGAGCTGAAGACACCTGCGAGTGGCGTCTTGTCTTTGTCTTGCAAAACGCTGGGACCTGGTGTAGACGATAGTTCGGCTTCATCCACATTGACAAGAACCTTGGGCTCTGGCCAGTCCAGTGACACCACTGGTCTAGGTGCGAAGATGTCCCTGAAAATTCCTTGTTCCCAGGGGAGTTGCACATTCGGTGGTCCTGCGGAAATCAGGACCTGAGCAACACGATGCTGGTTAACTTCTTGGCCTTCCGACTCGCTGTCAGAAGGCACTTCCGCTGCTCTTAGGTGACCAGCCATCTGGGGCTTGAACCAAAACTGACCCAAAACTCTCGATACCCGCATGAAGAGAAACATGTGAGGGAGACAGAATTTCTGTTGCAAACATGATAACAAAGCCAAAGTTCACTCGCCCTGTCAGGACGGGACACTCTTTTATGGCTCCCGACGAGCTTATATCAAGGCTCAGTGTTTCGGCTCTTGGCTCAGATTGGCCAGGCTACGGACACAGCCCTCAAAACTGCACAGGTGGGACTCAAAAGCAGGTGGTCCCCTGACCGCGCGCTGCCTGCATCTCGGCAAGCAGCATTCAGTGCCGGCATGCCCCCCTCCACCTGGGGCGTGTTCTCCTGCAGGAGCCCTTCCATCGAGAAGATGACGTCCCTTCCTTTGGCTCTTGCAGCCACCTTGGAGATTGAGGCTTTGATACCTTCAAAGCCGGAGTCGTTGCAGACCCCTCGGCCGCTGAATCCGTACGACGGGAAGTCGCCGTCCGTGAAGTCTCCCGGGGTTATCTCCCCATACTCGCCCACACCCATGGCTGCTGTCCACGGCAAGCCGTGGGACATTGTCATCGTGTAGCGGTGGTTTGCGGGCTCCAGGAAGGATGGCCCTGTCAGCTTTGTGCGAAAGCACAGCACTTTCTGCCCTGGCACTGCGAACATGATCGCATCGAAATCCCCTTCAATGTCCAGCGGCCTGGAGTTCTGCTTGAACCACGCAAACAAGCATGCACAGCGCTCGACAATCGGCTGCGGCACCTCGGTGGGATTCTTGTACTTTGCCATGTACAGCATCAACCGATCGCGATACTCGTCCACCAAGGTCCCGTCAATCAGGCCTCGGGCGTCCTTCCAGGACATGTTCCACCAGCTTCGCAAGATGCCCTCACGCATCAGTTCTCGGGCGCACTTGGGTCGCGAGGGGTCTGCGAGGGCCTTAGCGATCGCCCCTTGCCAGAGCTGACTGTGGAACCCTTCTTCTTCGCGCTCAGCCTTGCGATTGGCCGCCGCTTGAACTTCCTCCTCCGTCGCCTCCGCAACGTTGAATGCAGAGTCGGGCCTCTCCGGCGGCCCCTGCTGCCGGGCGCCAAAAATCCCAGCCATAGCTGGGTCGAGGAGAATCTCCGGCTCCTCTTCCTTGGGGGCAGCCCCTCGCCCATACTGCTCCTTAGCCGGCTTTTGCTCAGGCTTGGGCCACTTGTTCCAGCCTTTAGGCTTGTCCCACTTCTCACGCCGATTCCCTCCAGAGCCCTGCCACGAGCTGCTGGAGCCGTAGTTCTTAGAATGCCCCCAACCTTTGCCCCATGAAGACTGCTGGCTCTGCCATGGGGTGGACTGTTCTTGCCACCGGGAGGAGTCCTCCAAGAAGAAGCTGCCTCAGCTCCCTTCTGAGCAGGAAGGGATGCCTGGGTCTGTGGGCCAGACGCCACGCCGAAGACCGCAGTCGGCACTTGGCACCAGTGAAATCCTGGCTGCGGAGCTGGCATGGGTCTCTGGAGACCTTTCTCGACGCCCCCTTGGGCTGCGTGACCTAGACGCCCTTCGGCGCCTGTCTCTGCGTCTTGAGCGACGGCTGTCGCTGCTGCTTCTGTTCCTCCTGCGGCCCCTGGAGGCAGAGCCTTGTGACTCACCGCCCGGAAAGAAGGGCCACGGAAACATCTGGGCTTACGCCTCTTTTCTTTGCCCCCTGGCTTTTGTTTCCTCTCAGAGCTTTTGCTACCCTTTTTGTCTCTCTTTTTTTTTTTTGAGCCGAGAGAAATTCAGGTTTGGGAGAGTGAACTCAGATGTCAGCACGTCTTTCCCTTGAAATGTGCAATTAAGTGCTGAGTCGATAGAAGCTTGCAATCTTTCTGTTTTCAAGCTCTCGAGAGAACCTCTCGTCTCTACGAGACGACTGATCGGTGCCCTTGCACCTCTTGCCGGCCCTTGCCTGATTTGGCTGTCGTCACGGCCTGAAAGAATGGGCTGCCCTTGCAGCAATGTATGAAGCACACTCGTTGTGTGCATTGAATATTGGCCCTTGCCATCTTCAGCTGCCCTTGCAGCAAAACTATTTGAGTTGCCCTTGCAACAAATCTCAACGAGCTGACCCTTCAGCCGATCTTTGACCACGACTGCCTTAGCAGCTTGATCTCTCTTGAGCTGCCCTTGCAGCATTCTTGGAACTGCCTATGCATTATAATTCTCTCCGAAGACTTTTCACTTCGAAGGACACCACCTGAAGTGCAGCAGTGTTCACTTGACAATGTGGGTCTATCTGCAAAGATCCAACACAAACTAACATGCTTCAAAAACACAAACCACGCAGCAGACTCCAGAGACAGTGCAAATGCAAGCACTGATTGCTCGTACCTTCCGTGCCTTAGCGTCTAGGACCTGTTGTCAGGGCAGGACGGACACGCTGCTGAACCTTTTGCTTGGCCATCGGCTAACGAAGAGGGCACTCCGGGTTCCACATCAAGATGCCTGGACGGGGCATGAACTGCGCAAGCTGATTCCTGATTCTTCTACAGGAGAAACGTATAGACGAGGTTGCTTCTATACGCAGGCCAAAGCTTCCAAACTCGGTTCCCTGCCAGATAAAAATATCTTGACCTGACATGTACAACTCTCGCAATCGACGAGAACAGCTACCAGCTGCAGCAAGTTCTGAGACCTAAGACACTAGCTCATCTCCAGGAATCTACCTGCACTCCAGCAAACTTCAAGCGACAGCAATGCACAGCAACCAACGCACTCACAAAGTCTCCAAGATAGAGCTGGAGAAAAGAATCCTTAAATTGCGTCCTGGCTCAGACTACAACAACGCACCATGCTCCAAGAAAGCTCAAGAACAAGAAGGCAACTCGGCTTTCAAAACTCAGCGTAAAATGTAAGCTCCAAACGCCATCAACCTTCTGTGAGGCTCCCACTCCCCCACCAGGCCGAGGATGCTAATCCCCCAGCACACTTGGCTGAAGGCAGAAAAATTTTCCGGACCCTCTCCACGAGGGTTGTGGCTGAGAGGGCTGTGGCCTCTCTTCGTCTGAGCCGAAAAACTTTCTCATTCGTAGAATTCGAAAATTTTTCTCCGGAAAATAAAGGTTTGTACTTACAGCACGATTACCTAACTGTTCACCTGAGGTCTCAGAGACGGCGTTTCGGGGTACTTGGCACTTGATCTTACTACCTCCGAATTTGAGAGTAAACGAATCAGCTACTTCTTTAGACGTGGCCAGAATGTCCGGTCCTTTGAACAAAGACTCTAACAGATGGTTAGTTAGCCAGTCAATTTCCATGTCCTCCAGGTCATCCGGCTGCATTTCCGGTGACCCAAGTCCGCCTTCCCCCTCATCATCTGTGGGTTCCATGTAAGACGGAATATCATTCAGAGGATCAGGCTCATCTGGTACCATTTCTTCATCTTCGTCTTCAAACCCCGGGTCAGGGTCTTCTGACTTCACCGGATCAGGTGGTGGCTCAAACATGATGGGCCTTTCAGGATCCGCTGGGTCTAAAACGAGAGGCTGTGAAGTAGACAGAGCGTGTATGGCCCCTACGTCGTAGACAGGCTCACCTTTCGCTCCTTCTAAGGCCCTACAGACAGGAAAGATATCGATCTCAGTCTGACCCACTGGAGCAGCAAAGACACCGCCCCCTCTAGGCTCTTTAGGCGCTAGATACACAGCTTTCACTGTTTTCTTTCCCCTGTACTTCTGTTGATGCGCTTTTGAGCCCCCTACTTTAGCGTAGACAAGACATCCAAACGGCAGGGTCCTCGTACGATGCACAATCTCCTCGTGCAGCCGGTCAATGGGCGTAGTCACGTCCTGGTGACTAAAGCTCCAGAGGTTGTAGCACCTGGCACTGTAAAGGACACAAGCTTGCCAGAGCATTCCTCCCAGCGGAAGCTTCTTGTTCCAGTCTTCCGGCGCGGAATTCCGCGCAACTTCTCTCTCCAAGTCTAACCACACTGCCCAAAATCCCTGCTTCATAGTTTCTACTTGTCTTTCAATAGCGCCTTTTGACTGAGGGCGATACCCGGGCACGACGTCCACAATGACGCCAGAAACAGCTACATCACCTGTACGGGTAGTCAATTTTTCGGCTAAAGACATCAAAGCCGACTCCTGATCACATCTCACTGTGACCATTTTATTCACAAGACCCATTTCGCGAATCACTCGTCCAATGTTGTAAAACAGATCCGGATCATCCAAATTCATGGCCGGGATGGCCGTGGTATAGTTCGAAGAACAATGTGCAAGAAGCAGCACACGAAGACGACCAAAGTAGTAGAAATCCATTCCAATCGTCTGGTCCTCGCGTTGCAAACGCCTTCGCAAGCGTCTCGCAGGAACCTTCCCTTTACTCGAGGTGCAGGCCTCACAGTTCACATCATAAGGAAAATGACCTCTGGATCTATGCACTTGCAAAGCCACACTTCGCAGAGGTATCCTATCTGAAACTTCTGCACCTCCAGGCGGTTCCGGGGGTTTAGGTGGTTCAGCACCTTGAGGTTTCGGAAGCGGACTCTCTTTTTCTCCTCTCTCTTCTCTCCCTGAAGAACGTGGCATGTCACTATCGAGTTCTAAGGGCTCAGCTTGCGTCCCCTTACCGGGGAGGGGCAGTCCACGCACAACTCTCAAGTGGCTGTGCTCAGAAGTGGATCTGCTCCCTTTTTCATCATCGCCCTTTCTTCTCAACAAACAACAACCACACAAACTCCAAGCACAACACCATGCCGTGCACACCAACAAGCTCCACAAGTTCCTGTCGAGACAAAGGCCCAAGCACATGGCCTTACATGAGAACTTCAAAGAGGCTTTAAAACCTGAGCTCCAAGTTGGTTTCACAACGTGCCTGCTAAAGACCAGAGTACGTTCTACATCAACTCGAACATAACAGAAACGAGTCTTGATTCGCACTCGGACTCCTTTATACGACGATGGTGTAAACGGTACTTTCGGGATACAAGTTGAGGGTAGTCACCAACTCCTCGAAACCTTTTCAAACACATCTTCAAGAATCGAAATCCTAACCAGAACGAACCCCCCAAGAGACTTGCTATCACATAGATCGCCAAGCAAGCGAAAACATCCAATGCTTCTCCTGGCATGCAAAACAAAGCACTCCTGGCCGGCAGGGGTCTGTCATGACTCATGTTCAGGAGGTTTGGGTTCGTGGTGTTTCTGAAGTTCACACTTGAGGGTATTTCGGATCTTTGCGGGTACTGCTTAGAAGATCGACGTTCTTTCGGGCTATTTAAACGCGGACTTGAGGGTATTTCGGATCTTTGAGAGTACTGCCTAGAAGATCGAAGTTCTTTTGGGCTTCTCTTCAAGGGACCTTCAAGCTCGCACACTCCTAACCAAGCAAGTCTCACACAGCAACATGTCTGTTCAACTGCTTCACTCATGCTTCTTTCCAAGTCCAAACAAGCCTGAAAGACACTGTGTTTTTCCAACGCGCAAGACATGCGATCGGCGCGTTCAGAAACAATTCCACAAAAGGAAGAATTCCGCACAGCCTTTAAGGCCTTCACTCCTTCTTGTCAGGGGAAGGAAGCACTTATTTTCATTTGCTGTGAACGGGCATCTCAATCTCTCAGAATATAAGTTGACATGACTGTAGCATCTCCGGACCTTTTTGCTTCAAACACTGGGGTAAGTGCGCGATGCCAAGCCACATGTTCTCCCGCCATGGGCGGGGGGCTTGGCAAAAAGTTGAAATGGAATCAGGAAGGGGGACCCAGTCCCCCAAATTTGAACCAGGAGTGGGTGGGTGGGTCAAAAACCCGATATGTTTTGATTTGCTCTCGCACATGCGAGCCACATACTGCATGACAACGGCAATGCACACGCATTCCCAACAAAATCAAAACATATCACAAACGTTTATCCTTCCCGTTGTGAAAAACATACATGAAAGAAACTGCAAACAAATGCCCTCTTTTTGTTTATAAAACAAAAAGTCCCAGCTGTTGAAAATAAAGCTTCATCCACCTACGGTAGAGTGGCAGCTTATTTTCATTTGCTGTGAACGGGCATCTCAATCTCTCAGAATATAAGTTGACATGACTGTAGCATCTCCGGACCTTTTTGCTTCAAACACTGGGGTAAGTGCGCGATGCCAAGCCACATGTTCTCCCGCCATGCCCCTTTGTTCAAGAGGACATGCTAACACCCTACCACCTCGTTCCAAACTTCTCGCAGGAAGTCTGGGGTGCACACGCACTCCTTGCCATCTTCCAGTCTCAATCCCCTGGAGGGACCATCCGCAGGATTTGAGCTGGAGGGAACACGCTCATACCAACAGAAGATCGAAAGACGGTCCTCGATCTTGCATATGGCTCGCGCACACAAGGAACCGAACTTGTTAGAGCTCCAGCATCGGACCACAGTCCCCAACACACCTTCATTGTCAGTGAAGGCAACAATGTTGCTGTGCCCCAAAGCAGCTTGAAACAATTTGAACGCCATGAGCAAGGCTAAGCACTCGAGCTCAAAGATCACCGTTTCTTTCTCGCTCTCTTCAAAGTGCATGAGTTCGTCAATCATCCAAGACGGGGCCCCACATCCAAACCACATGAGCGTTTCGCCATCGGCGTTGTAGCAAACACCCCCCAAACCAGAGTGTCCGTCATTTGGTTCAAAAGAGGCATCCACATAGACATGTACGACATTGTTCAGCGACCTGGATATCACGCGCTGTCGGTTTGCCCTCAGCAGACTCAGTAAAAGCTCAAAAGCTTCCACGCACTCGCTCTGTAATTTTGCAAACCCGCTGCTGCCATGTTTTGACACCACATGCAAAGCTGCTCTAGCCGACCTGCCGAACAACTGGCCAGTCGCAAACTGCAATCTGCCTCTGACTCGCTGGCAGTCTCTCGAGTTGAGGGAGCCCCGTTCCAGGATCGCCTCTAGTTCAGCAATCAGTTCTTCACGACGGCTCTCAGTGTTCGAGAAACGAACTTGTCCCAATCGTGCTTCGCTCATATCAAGGCGGACCCCCAACACTTTGCACATGGTGCTGTAAGGACACAACTTGTCGGACGAGATATCCCACCCGAACAGCTTCATGAAGATTGAGATGACCAAATCCATATGCCTTGCAGTACGAGCCTTCGTAAGATGGACATAGTCGTCAAAATACATGCTCCACACCAATCTTAGTGCAGAAACTCCCAATTTCCAAAGTGCAAAACTGCATCTGATGAAAGCAGTGACACTTGCGACCGACCCAAAAGGCAGCACACGTTGCTTGTACACATGAGGCTTCTTATGCAACTGACTATAAATCACAAAGTGCCCATCTAAATCGAAAGATCGGTCGTCCAATGGGAGTTGTTTGTAAGCAGATTTCAAGTCCCAACATTTCGCCACCAAGTCGTCCTGTCCTTGTCTCTCTGCACCAAGTTGTAACCACAACGCCACCATCCCCGCAACCACGTCGAGATTGTGGATGGTCACCTGCTCAGTTTGCGTAACTGCTGCATTCACTAGCGCCGATAATCGTCTATCGGTCTCACCTTCGGCTCCCCAGATGCAGTAGTCCCTTGGCGCACTCCAAATCTCCTAGTCAGCGATGCCCCTGCAGGGAGCGTAGCAGGATCCACAGGTCCCTGAATGAAACCAGCATCAAGTTCCTTCAGGGTCGCCGCCTCGACGCCGGCATCAATTTCAGCATCCCCGGACGGCCCGACCATGGCTAACGTAGCGCTCCTGGATCTGGCCGCACTTTCCCTTAGCGCAGCCTCAGTCAAAGTAGCCGGCTTGTACACTTCCCTGAAAACACCAGCCACAGGCAGCCTCCCGGTCAAGGCGAAACCATTCAGCATATCGTCCGCAATGTTTTCGTCTCCATGTTCCACATCTTTCAGGGCCCGGCGAAAAAGGGCGATCTTCTTCTTCTCGAGAACCAACTTTCTGAAGTCAGACATGTTTTCACGAGACAGATCCTCTTCCATCTGCAGTTCGATGGCCCAGGAGATCCACTTTCGCACCATCTCAGTCCGGTCCTTGGCAGCAACATCATCAGGCACCACATGGGCGTGTCTGACCGCTTCACGCAGCTCAGCTGGGAGGAGGTGTTCCATGTGACAGGGATGCTTCATTGCCAACGCTCTGCCGACAAACTGTTCCGGGGTGTGGTAGATGCCGAAAACAACACGCCCTGTGTCGCCCTCTTGCTCATTCCTCCTCGAGGCAGATTTGGACAGGACGTACGCCGGCTAACCTCTATCTCCTAAGGGAATGGGGGGGATAGAGGTTAGAGGGATAGATGAGGTGATTTTTTTTATCGGGGGGGGGGGGGGGGGCCTACATCAATACCTACACTACTTGTCCTGAGTCCCTAGCATGCTTATGGAGTGCCTGACCAGCGTCAAATTTCAATTTGCGAGGGGGAGGGGGGGGTAGATAGAGATGGGCGACTAAAGGGGGGGGTTAGATAGTAGACGGGTTCCCGTAAAATTTTAAGCCAAGGGAGGGGGGGGGGGGTCAGAGCTGGGGGGCCTGAGGGGGGGGGGGG